GAAGCAAATTCCAAATTTTATTTGGTTTCAATTCATTTAAACGTAAATAGCCACATATCGCTAGTGGTTACCAAATACTGGACAATGCACCTCTATGCCAATACTAATACTAATCAATGGTTAATTAGAGAACAGATCTAAAATATTCTTTCTTTCTTTAAGCTTAGTTTCTCAACTCATCATCCTGTATAATCTCCTAATCTTGATTTTCAAAATCATATATTTAGATGTGTAGAAAGACAAAATGGGAAGAGTTAAGTATAACAAAAAGTGGCATGTATTTTTTTACGTGTCAACTGGGGCTTTTTTGGTCAGATTTTTATTTTTTAAGACATCATTTTTTAAAGTAATCTCTCCACCCAATGTGGGGCTTGAACTCACAACCCTGAGATCAAGTGTTGCATGCTCTTCCAACTGAGATAGCCAGGTGCCTCTGGCCAGATTTTTATTTACATATAACACGGAAGGTGGTTTAGTTGAAAGTTAGGTGCTAAACAGCTGTATAATGTATCACTAATTGTCCGGTATGTTTTAGTAAATAATCTGAAAAGAAAATGAAGGAGATTGTTTCCTATCAAATATCTGGTTCCTCTTGGTAAACTAAAAAAGACTTCTCACTGAAATCATACCTTTCAACCGTACTGTCAATATAGTGATGGAGATACCTACAGCAACAACTTGAAAATGCCTAAATAACAATGTGGAAGTCTCTTACCTCTCAGGTGGGAGGGATATGGATGGGGAGGAGTCACTAATAGCAGCTATGATCGAGGAAGGAAAGAGACACAGATCTTGGTTTGCATCCCAGCCCTGTCAGTTACTGTGTGTACTTTGGACACATTACTTAATTATTCCACAATCAGAGGGTGATAACTACACCTTTCAAGGTTTGTTGGAAGATTAGCGATATGTAAAGCACCTGGCACATAAGTGCTAAATCAATGAGTTTTATTATTATGCCAATATTTTGTCAAGAAAATAGAACAGTACAAGGGAAGTGAGACCAAATAATATAAAACCTGGGTAATAATTAACTGACATAATCATTAAGTTGTAAGGTTATTTCTGGTATATGTTACTGTTATGTCTATTGACCACATAAAATTTAGTCCACTGTATATCAAATAAATGACAAGAATAGATGAATGAATGATCACCTTGCCCTGTTCTCAATGTTCCTTTGCCCCCAAAATGGGTTGTTATCACTAAAATGGTGGGTTTTTTTAAACAAGATTTTATTTATTTGATAGACAGGGCGAGCACAAGCAGGGGGGAGCAGCAGGCAGAGGGAGAAGCAGGCTCCCCACCGAGCAGGGAGCCGGCTACAGGGCTCAGTCCCAGGACTCTGGGATCATGACCTGAGCCGAGTGGGCACTTAACCGACTGAGTCCCCCAGGCACCCCACTACAATGGTTTTGTCACTGGTACCATCACTAGGGAAATTTTCAAAGAAGCTGTAAAGAGCAGTATCAAATCAATAGTCTTAGAATTGTTTCTCAAGACTTAATAGGAGAGATCATGGCTGAAATTAAAATACAATTTTTTTTAAAGATTTTATTTATCTATTCATGAGAGACAGAGAGAAAGAGAGAGAGAGAGAGAGAAAGAGAGAGAGAGAGAGAGAGAGAGAGAGAGAGAGGCAGAGACATAGGCAGAGGGAAAAGCAGGCTCCATGCAGGGAGCTCGATGTGGGACTTGATCCCGGGTCTCCAGGATCAGACCCTGGGCTGAAAGGCAGTGCTAAACTGCTGAGTCACCCGGGCTGCCCTACAATTCTTTAATAAGATTTTATTTTTAAGTAAGTTCTACACCTGATGGGGGCCTCCAATTTAGAACTGAGATCAAGAGTCACAGTGCTTTTCTGACTGAGCCAGCCAGGCTCCCCAAGAAACAACTTCTTGAGCAATATTATAAAGGAACATGTAAAGGCTTCTATCCTTAGACATTTTTAAGACAGACAATTCTCCAGCTGAAAATGTCATCTTCGTCTGTGGTAGCCAGCCTCCAGGACAGGCTCTACTGATCCTTACTTTCTAGCACATGGCCTTCATTACTCTCCTGCCCAAATTCAATCAAGGCTGGCTCTGAATATGGCTGAGGTGATGTGTGAGTTCTAAGGCTGTGTCATAAAAGGCACTGCAGCTTCTGCTTTGGTCTTTCAGATTGATCACTTGCTCCAGAATAAGCCAGTTGCCATGCTGTGCGAACACTCAAGCTGTCCTGTGGGAAAGCCCATGTGGCCAACAGGCTAAGCCAACCTGCCAGACTTGTGAGAGAACCAAACACCTTGGAAGTGGATTCTCCAGCTCCAAGTAAGTCTTCAGATGACCACAGTCCTAGCCTACATCTGACTGCACCCTTAGGAGACTGAAACAGAAAAGCCCAGTTGAACCCCTCCTGAATTCCTAACTCAGAAACTATGAGAGATAATACATGACTTTTATTGATTTAAGCCACTAAGTTTGTTTTTATAATTTTTTTTTTAAGTAACCTCTATGCCCAACATTGGGGCTCAAACTCAAGACACTGAGATGAAGAGTCACAGGTTCCACCAATTGAGCCAGCCAGGTGTCCCAAATACTTTTTTTTAAACGATCTTCTTTATTTATTTGAGGGGGAGGGGCAGAAGAGAAACTGATCCCCCCCCCCCCCCCCCCCCCGCCCGCTCCCTGCTGAGCACGGAGCCAGCCACAAGGCTCCATCCCAGGACCCTGAGATCATGATGTGAGCTGAAGGCTGATGCTTAATCAACCGAGCCACCCAGGTGTCCCCCAAATAAGTTTTTTTTAAAGTAAACTCTACCCCTACATGGGGCTTGAACTCACCACCCCAAGATCAAAAGTTGCATGCTCTACCAACTGAGCCAGCCTAGTGCCCTTGGTGTGTGTTGTGAGGTTATTTGATATGCAGCAAAAGATAGCTAACTATCAATAACAAACATTTATTACTACGTACAAGGTATCCTACTTATAGAGTTAATGACGTCAACCTGCTATAACATTAAAGTTATAAAGGACAAGTTTCTGTGAACTATCATATGGTTCTGTCTATATCTTTTCCTATAAAATGCTTATGAGACAAGAAGAATTATCCAATCAAATATTTAACGAACATCCACTAAGTTCAAAATACTATTCTAGTTGCTCTGTTGATTAAAAGGTATGGTGATGTTAGTGATAATAACAATAGTAAAAATAATGAGACACTATTAATACTTATTAAGCATGTACTTGTCTTAGTGTTCTAGACACTGTACACATACCCTCATACATTGCCAAACGTTTTCCAGAAAGGTCATACAGTTACACTCCCATCTGCAATGTTTAAGAACAAACTCACCGCACATTTATCAGCACTTAAGAAAAAGTTTTCGGGGATCCCTGGGTGGCGCAGTGGTTTAGCGCCTGCCTTTGGCCCAGGGCGCGATCCTGGAGACCAGAGATCGAATCCCACATCGGGCTCCCGGTGCATGGAGCCTGCTTCTCCCTCTGCCTATGTCTCTGCCTCTGTGTGTGTGTGTGACTATCATAAATAAATAAAAATTAAAAAAAAATAGTTTTCGGGATCCCTTGGTGACTCAGCGGTTTAGCACCACCTTCAGCCCAGGGTGTGATCCTGGAGTCCCAGGATTGGGTCCCACATCAGGCTCCCTGCATGGAGCCTGCTTCTCCCTCTGCCTGTGTCTCTACCTCTGTGTGTGTGTGTCTCTAATGAATAAATAAATAAAATCTTTAAAAAAAAAGTTTTCAAAAACACCTGATAGGTGAAAAATACAAGTTTAATCTACATTTCTATGATTACTAGATCTTAAAATGTTAAACACATTAAAGTTCTAACCTACGTTACAATGTTGACTTCATGTTTTCTTGACATTTTTACAGTCAAGTCAACCTCTTCCTTTGTAATTTCTTCTCTTTTATAATTAAAAAGCCCTTTCCTATCCCTAGATCAATTAAATTTTCACTTGCATTTGTTTTCCAGTTTGCTGATGGTTCCGTTTTTTACATAGGTAGTTACTTTTTGTGGCAGGACATGGAAGTTGTTTTTCTCCCATAGTCATGTCTCCTTCATTATCAATAAAGTTTTTCTCCCCCCCCCCCCCCGACTTAAGATGCCACCTTCATTACCTCAGTAAACCTTGTGTTAATTACTTGGGTATGTTTTTGAGCTTCATAACTCTTTCAGTTGGTTTTGGTGTTAGTACTATACTTTTTTTTTTTTAAAGATTTATTTGTGAGAGAGAGAGCTGGGGGGGGCAGAAGGAGACGGAAAAGGGGGGAGGGGGAGGGAGAAAGGGAGAAGGGGAGGTGGAGGTGGGGAGAGAGAGAATCTACAGCAGACTCCATGCTGAGCATGGAGTCCAAAGTGAGACTCGATCTCAAGACCCTGAGATCATAACCTGAGCCAAAAATGAAGAACTGGATGCTTAGTCAACTGAGCCACCCAGGTGCTCCTGTACACTCTTAAAAATTACTGACTTCTACTTATTCATTAAAAACCGTCACATTCTCCTCCTGGAGGCCTCCCTGCCTCTTCCAAAAAGATATGAATGCTGACTCCTTTTTCACCTTCCTAACGCCTAAAATCCTGCCTTGTATCACAGTTAATAGGGTCGAGCTTATCCAATTATATTCTTGAAAACAGGGAACACGTGTACTATATAGGCATTAAAATCAAATGACTGGATTTGCATTAAAAGGCAGCGATGGCAAAACAGATATAGTTTGACCAAAAAAAAAGAAAAAAAAAGAAAAGTAAAGGAGAATGGACAGTCCCCTCATTTCAACAAATATCGACGCGCTATCCATTAGGAGGAGGTCATCAAGGTGAGCGAGGCCTAGACCCCGCCGCAGGGAGTTGGTTCACCCCTCGGGGCCACGGGGCGTGTGAAGAAGACACGTGATGAAATGGTGCCAGTGGCGCCAGAGACTCAAGCACGAGGCAGGAGGAAGGAAACACCTGCGCAGGTGATGGGCGGGGTTTCAGAGCAGGGGACGTACCTGGGAGCTGCGTTTGGGGCGGTTCTTAGACGTCAGAGGCGTCCAAAGGATCTGGCCCGCACAGTGCATCGACTCCGAAGCTGTGACACAGGCTGGCGTCGCTCATCCTCCCGCGGGGTTCGGGAGGCCGCCCCCGAAGCTCTGGGTAGCACGCGCCAGCTGGAGAGCTCGGCCCGGACGCTGTCTCCGCAGCGGAGCCTGAGACACCCGGCCCGGGAGGCAGGTGCGAGCTGACGCCAGGTGCGTCACCGGGTGAAGACCTGACACGGGAGAGGAGGTTCAAACCTTCACCGGGCGCAGGTGCTTCGCGCCGTCAGCCGTCGGTTCAGGAGCTCCGAGGACCGACAGTTCCGCTCCCCAGAGGCCCAGAGCACGCCCAGGCCGGAGGTCAGCGCACGGCCGCTGGCGTCATGCAGGCGTGACGTCACCAGCACTGACGCAGCCTCACGGGGCGGGGCCTCCCGGGTCACCTCGGGACGCCGTGGGGCCCGCGGAGCGGCGAGTCGTCCTTCCTGGGTGCTGCCCCGAGGGTCGGACTAGTGGGCGCGGCGGGAACTGAGGCGACGCGGGCCGGGCCGCGGCGTCCCGCCTTCCTCGGCGCTCACGGCGTGGGGGGGGAGGGGGAGGGGGAGGGGAGGGGCCTCCTCGCTCAGGCCCGGCCGCGCGCCCCCGAGCCCGGCGCTCGCCCGGCCGCGCGCACGCACGCACGCCGGCGCGCACGTTCCCCGGGAACCCGGAAGTGCGAGGCAGCGGAGAGCCACGTGGGTGGAGCGGGGTCGCAGCTCGCATGGGGGAGTCTATCCCGCTGGCCGCCCCGGTCCCGGTGGAACAGGCGGTGCTGGAGACGTTCTTCTCTCACCTGGGCATCTTCTCTTACGACAAGGCCAAGGACAATGTGGACAAGGAGCGAGAGGCCAACAAGAGCGCGGGGGGCAGCTGGCTGTCGCTGCTGGCGGCCCTGGCCCACCTGGCCGCGGCCGAGAAGGTCTATCACAGCCTCACCTACCTGGGGCAGAAACTAGGTACCTCCGCCCCGCCCCCCGTGCCCTTTGAGGAGGAAGGAAAGGGGGTTGGCTCCCTGCCTCGCCGCGGCCTCCCGCTCCTCTCGGCGCTCCCGGCTCACCTCCCGGCGACCCCTTCCCTCCCCCGGCTCCCGCAGGCCCCGCCCACCGGCCTCCGCTGCCGCCGGGGCTGCGGCTCCCACCGAGGGGTGTCTCGGTGCGTGCCCATTGCACGGATTGGTGCCCTCAGTGAGAAGTTAAGCAGCCTGCCCGCTGACACTGTGGCCAGAGGAGCAGACCTGGGCAATGCGACCTAGTTAGAACCAATGAACACCTTTGCAGCCCGGCCTCCTAAAGCCGAGGCCCCTGAGAGTTACGGATGGCGTCCTTACTTACCCCTCCTTCTTAGGCTGTCAATAAATAATTTAAAGCATGAGGAAATAAGCGAGTACCGGACAGGAAAGGCAAGAAACGTGCCTGACACTAGCAAGAGGGCACTTGGGGGAAGATGGTAAACACTCTTATCATTGCATCATCATGAATCTTGGCCCCTGGAAGTGAGATGAAAGAGCGGATTCAGCCGATTTTCACTAGCTGAAACGGTATGAGTAGATCAGAAGGAAATAAAATAATGAGGAAGCCAAGGGCTGTGCATATAAAATATCACTACTTATCATGGCCACCAGTGCCTATTACAGATCCTGGAGCTTTCAAAGGGGTGTTAGTATTTTGGCCTGTTTTTAGACGTTTCAGTTATCAGAAGCACAGGGGCTGGTATGAATGGAGGACACATCTATGAAATAGGAATAGAAAGATAAAAGTTGAGTGCAGATTCCATTTTGATTTTAACCCCCAGTTTCCTTCTATTGCCTGAAGGTGGCCACGTCCCTATGGCCAGGGGATGATGATCAGTAATCCCACGGGGGGGGGGGGGGGGGGGGGGAGGGGTGCAGGGCTTTCTGAGGTCTTAACCTGTGCCTTGGCTGTTCAGATAATACCTTGTTGTGTAGTATGTTGACTTACTGGCAAAAGTGCTCAGTTAGATTCACCCTGTGCATTTTTTCCCCACCCCCTTTTTGCAGTGGCACTTCTCACAAATTTGCAATTGCTGTTGCAGTGTCATTGTTACCCTTTCTGTAGATCGGCAAATTGTCTACGCGCACCTGTGTGGGTAGGTGACAGATCTCAAACCAGAATACCTGCCTTTGAACTGTCAGATTGTGTTTTTATCCATATGATTTGTAAAAAGTTGTTGTCCGTATTATGATTTAAGCATATACTTTGTGTATACAGTTGGCCCTTGAATAAGAGGGGTGTGAACTGCATTGGTCCACTAATACACGGATTTTTTTTTTCGATAAATACAGTGCAGTAAATATTTTTCTCATCCTTTATGATTTTCCTAACATTTTCTTTTTCTCTAGCTTACCTTATTATAAGAATACAACATAGAATACATATAACCTATGAAATACGTGTTAACCTACTACTGTTTATGTTATCAGTAAGGCCTCTAGTCAACCATAAGCTATTAGTAATTAAATTTTTGGGAAGTCAAAAGTTAATACCCAGATTTTTGGCTATGTGTGTGTGTGGGGGGATCAGCTCCCCAGCAACCCCTCTCCTACCCCTGACGCTGTTCAGGGGTCAACTGTATTTGGAAGTGGGGAAGATTCTGGCCATAAAATTGAAGGTGGGTAATTTTCTGGCAGTTTTAGTTGTTTTTAGATTCTCTCACCTCATGAAGAATGGTGACTGACCCCTCAGGGCCATGATTCTTAATTTGTTTAAGCTCATCTGTGAGATTTTGATGAAGCCCATGCACTTACATGGAATATATATGTGTAATACAATTTTGCATATAATCTGAGAGGTTTCCATTCAGTCGGATTTCCTAAAGCCTAGTCATGGACCCCAGTTTAAAAATCTGCTATTCTAGTTTCAGTTGTATGTGTCTGGTTTTAGGTAAACAGCACTGGCTGCCCTGTGTGTTAAGAGCAGGTGTAAAATTATCAGGGTCTTAGCCTTGGGTTCTGTGAAATGGCCCTTGTCACGTAAAGTGATTAGTTCTGTCTGCATGGACCCCCTGCTTGCATGGATGAGCCTGAAGGCTGCACCGTGAAATTCAACCGGGAGCAGTTGACACTCTGAAACATGCCCAGGCATGGTTCAGGCTCCCAGTGATCTGTCACTTCTGAGTGAATGTTCTGAGAATGGCACGTTTAACTTTAACGCCTCATTAACTTCTTCAATGTATAGTAAACGTAGGTTCCAAATTTTAAATTTTTAAATTTGCAGCTATCTTACAGTGTTTTGATACTGGAATGTTTGTGATATCAGCAGGCTTACCATATGATTCTGTGATTATTAGGTCGGCTCTATTTTCTTAATTAAACCCTTGGGGAAAAAGTTTTGTGTTGACACTGAAGACATTCCCATGTTCTTCACATCCTTTGGTAATTAGAATGTATGATATTTTTTTTAAAAACAAAACAAAATGTTTTATGTGTATCTTTAAACATTTAAAAAAACATGATCCAAACACGTGAGTCTTTCTGACCTCACTCTTGTGACTGATGTTTATCAGAGACCTTGGCAGTGAATCCTGATTATAGATGCATGTGTGGGCAAACACTTTAGGCAAAGGATGGACCTGACAGGGAGCCTTCTGTTCCTGTACTGGCTCAGTTCTGAACAACTCTGGGTGGAGCCCTTACCTTGGAGCTTTCTCTTTGCTTTGAGAAGAGACTATACCTGTTTGGGGAAGGATCACGGATAAAAATATGCCATCTCAATGCCTTTGGAGGACTTTAGGCCATACATCTCTCCCTTTTGTTTCGTTACTGGAGAGTTTCCTCAACCTCTGGTTGCTAGAATTTAGCACGGTAGGAAATGACTTTAACTTGAGAACCAACATTTACAAACTATCATTAACAAAACATTGTGGAATAAAATACTCAATTAGACGTTTCACATACTCCTTTAATACACTTGTTACTTGAAATTTTATCCTGTGGGGTGGACTGTTGAAATCTTGAAAAATAGTGAAGATACAATACAAAGAGCCTTCTGGAAATAGTTCAACATAATCCTATTTTGTGAGTTCAAAAAATTGAAAAGAGGAAGATGTCTGGTGTCCCTGCTTCCTTGTTTCCCAGTAATGAAGGAAGACCAGTCCCCTCTGGATATTCCTAACCAGGGTAGTCAATATGTAGGATTGTGCTCCTGAGAGCTCTGAGAAAAGAGACCAGTTTAAAAGAAATGCGTTGGTGGTCTCTCCCTTCCTTATAGTGTCCCTTGACATGGTTTCACATACTGGTGACTGATGATTATTGATAAGCTTTTCAGGATACTCTTTGCATCCGTGTGGTGTTTCCACTCCCTCAGAGAGGGTAATCTGATGAAGGAAGTTCTTTTTCACTCAGAGTTAAAACTCACTAAGGCCACCCTGTTAAGGGGTAAGTACGCAGTTGAGAGTCACCTCACTAGCTTTCAAATAGGTAGCTATTCTTGTTTACATTATATGAAGCTCCCAATTTACTATAGAGTTTTAGAAGCCCAATTAGGTAGTATTCAGGGTCTTCTTATGTCCATTACAAATGGAAGGGGACTAGTGTTATGCAACATGCACTTTGCTCCAGGCACATTATATACCAGATGTGATTTCATGTTGTCTTCTTGGCTCTATTACTTGTTTCGTGTTAAAAACCACAGCTAAGGTTCAAAGTAGCCAAGTCATTGGCATATCACACAGAGTATACATTCGGAAGCTGGAATTGGGGCTAAGTCTGTCAGACTTCCAGAGCTTTTAGTTTTTTTTTTGTTTTGTTTTGTTAAGATTTTATTGTTAAGTAATCTGTACACCCAATGTGAGGCCTGAACTCACAACCCTGAGATCAAGAGTTGCACACTCCCCTGACTGAGCCATCTAGGCACCCCATAGATTTTGCATGGTACTCTTGTTACCTACTTAACCTAAGAAATTTTTTCTCCTAAACTTGGTCACAGAGGTCTATTTATTCCATACTGTCCCTTCACAAAATCTGCAGGATTAGACTAATATAGGCAGGGAAGGAGGGCAAACCCTTCAGGGTACAGTCGTGTGCGGGATGTTAGTGCTGGGGTCAATCCAACTGTACCACATGGTTTTTGCTATTAGGAGAGGAAATGATTTGAATGTTACTTTGTCTAGGCAGTATACTGAAGAAAACATTCCACAAACTATTAATTTGATTACTTTTACAACTATTAACTACAACTACAAACCTAGAAGGTTGGTCACTTAATAACGTATTCCACAAACTATTAATGCTTAAAAATAAGTTATAAGTGACCAACCTTCTAGGTTTGCCCAGGGTCAGGGGGCTTCCCAGGGCGTGGGACTAAGGGCTTTCTGAGAAGCCAGACTTTAAGAACCAACTGTGAAAATCGTGGATAACCTTGGACACGCTGGTCACAGTAGTAGGAAAGGATGTAAGATTCATTTCTTGAAATATAAACTGGGTAGTGAAGTAGAAACAACATTGTGAAATGTTTCATTTGTCAAAGGGATGTTTTACAAAATGCCTCGATAAATAATTTTCACTCTTAATTGACATGTATAAAAGTAGTAAGTTTATTCATTAAAGCATTCTGTGTATAGCAATAGAAAATGTAAACTGTCATCCATCTCTGAGGTTTTTATATATTTCTAAGAATTACTGTTTTAAAGCTGCACTGTTTCTTTTCATTCTCTTAATATCTTGCCTGTGACCCTTTCTCTAGTGCAGAATTGGTTAAGAAAACATCTACAAAGCTGGCTCTATAATTATTAGAACTAGAGTTGATCATGTGTTAATACCGAGTAAGGAAATGATCTATGCCACTTGATCCCTATTAACTGCTGAAAGGGATGTATTTTGTCTTTTTTTTTTAAATTAAGTAGCTCCATGCCTAGTGTAGGGGTTGAACTCAAGACCCTGAGATAAGAGTCACACGCTCTACCAGCTGAGCCAGCCAGGCACCCCTGGTCTTTTTTTTTTTTTTTTCCCCGATTTGGAACTCCTGAGTTACAGCAATAGTTATTTATAATTACTTCCTGCACTTAATCACTCACAATGTGGTGCTTATTTTGTTATAATCTATTGTATAAACCTTATCAAGAGTTCCAAAGATTTCTGGGTGCCTGACTGGCTCAGTTGGAGGAGCATGTAACTCTTGATCTCAGGGTCATGAGTTCAAGCCCCGCATTGGGTGTAGAACTTACTTAAAAAAAAAAAAAAAGTACTAAAGATTTCCTTTTTTTCCCTTGCGATCCCCAGATTCTGTGTTCTTGTGTAAGGGAGATACATGTATTTTCCATTTTCTGGTATAGCTTAAAAGATTCAAAGGAAAATTCAGCCCTGATGCAGAAATAAAATTTTCTGATTTATCAGGAATAACAGTGTTTTCCAGTTGGGTATTCTCTTTTGTTTTAAATACGTGTATGTGGAAGGAGGGCTATTTGGATTCAGGTTGATGTCACCTGCTAGGTTAATTCTCCTCTGAAATAAATGTGAATCCTCATTGAATTGGTTTGGGGGAGAATTGGTATATGGGTAAAGAAATCATACATCTGTTACTACACTGAGGAGGTGCACCAGGCATTCATTTCTTATTCTTCAATGAAATTATGAATCACAAAATATTTAAATTCCAATCATAGGAGTCAGAGAATATGGTAGGTGATAACTCACTGAGCTCAGCAGACTCCTTTCCTTTTGGTTTTTCTTTTTTTAAAAGATTTTATGCATTTACTTATTTGAGAGAGAGGGAGCAAGAGAGAGAGAAAGAGAGAGAACAAGCCAGGGGAGAGGGAGAAGCAGACTCCTCGCTGAACAGGGAGCCCAGACAGGGGGCTGGATCCCAGACTCTGGGATCATGACCTGAGCCAAAGGCAGGTGCTTAACTCACTGAGCCACCCAGGCGCCCTTCCTTTCCTTTTGGGTGCTGGGAGGTGTTCTCTCCTAGTTTCTCTTCCTTACTTGTCATTTGCTAATGTCATTTGCCTCCCAGGGGGCCAGTCCTTCTTCAGCAGGAAAGATTCTATCCGTACCATCTATACTTCCCTGCACAATGAGCTGAAGAAGGTGGTGACTGGCCGCGGTGCCCTCGGGGGGAACGCCCCCCACGTGGAAGAACTACTTTCCCACCTGTCGGAGCAGCTGTGCTTCTTCGTGCAAGCCCGGATGGAGATCGCAGACTTCTATGAGAAGATGTACACCCTCAGCCCACAGAAGTTCATCAATGCTGAGGAGCTCGTTGGCCTTTTGGACACCATCCTCAAGAAATACAGCTCCAGGTGAGTGTAGGTGAGGAGGTGAGGAGGGAAGGAGGGAAAGAGGGAGGGATGGCCAGAGCAGCCTCTCACTCCCACACACACTAGCTCCTTCCCCACATTCTTTTTTTTTTTTTTTTTTTAAGATTTTATTTATTTCTTCCTAAGAAACACAGAGAGAGGCAGAGAAGCAGGCTCCCTGCAGGGAACCTGATGCAGGACTCGATCCCAGGACCCCAGGATCATGACCTGAGCCAAAGGCAGATGCTCAACCACTGAGCCACCAGGGTGCCCCACTTCCCCACACTCTTATGAGGAAAATCTATGATGAAATAACTGAAATAGAGAAATAGCTATTTTACATCTTATACATATTAACGAATGGGTATACATTAGGTACCTCCTTTGAGGTTCATTAACACCACGCTGGGTGGATACTTCCCTAAGCAATAACCAAGGGCCAAGAATGAAGTAATCCTTAAAAGATGTATTATAACTGATTTTGCTGCTTCAAAAAGAGTTCACACAGCGAGAACTGTATATAAACTAATGTGATTTTTTTTTTTACAAACTATTATTCAAATAAATGTCCCTTACAAAGTAATCACCTTGATGAGTTATCCACTTATTCCTCTGATGTAACTAACCATTACTTAACATGTGTTGGAAACTCCTTTATAATTGCTTTCTATGCTATTCTATGCCTGTGGCATAGTTTTGGTTTTGTTTTAAACTTTCTTAGGGGACACAGGCATCTGTGATTTTGAGGAGGGCATACTTAAATTTTTTTTGATAGTCAAAAAGCTATTTGTAGCCAATTTAATTTTTTTTTTTTAAAAAAAGATGATCAGCTGGAAAACTTCTATTTGAAGGAAATTGCTACTTTCATTTATGAGCCTGCCTGTAATGTATTGCTCACTTCCTGAGCCAAAAAACAATACCAAAGGATTTTGAGAAGCATTAGGTGTTATTGTTCGGCTGTAGAAAGGAATGAGGTATTGATATATGCCCACAGTCTCCATGAACCTTGAATAATTATGCTACATGAAAGAAACCAGTCAGAAAAGATCACATGTTGTATCCTTCCAGTTATAGGAAATGTCCAGAATAGGCAAAGTCATAAACACAGAATGTAGATTACAGATGACGGACACAGAAAATGGTTGGGGTGAAGGTGAGAATGGGGAGTGACTTCTAATGGGTACAGGATTCCTTTTGGGGGGGGGTCATGAGACTGTTCTAAAATTAGTGGTGATGGTTGCACAACTCTACTAAAACTACTGAATTCTATACCTTTTATAAAAGAGTATACATTATGTATGTGAATTACCTAGTAAAGCTATTATTAAAAAAGAAATAAACAGGGACTCCTGGGTGGCTCGGTTAAGCAATTGCCTTTAGCTCAGGTCATGATCCCAGGGTCCTGGGCTCGAGTCCTGTGTCTTGAGCCCTCCATTGGGATCCCTGCCCAGCCAGAAGCCTGCTTTTCCCTCTCCCTCTGCCACTCCACTTGCTTATGCTCTCTTGCTCTGTCAAATATATAAATAAAATCTTTTTTAAAAAAGAAAAAGATTTTAAAAAGAAATAAAGCTGTGCAGTGAACATGCAAACATCCTTCCCTTTGACTCATATTGTTAAAATGTTGCCATGTTTGCTTTATCTCTCTGTTTAGATAATTTTATTACCCCTCCCACATTGTTTGGAAGTCATATGGGAACATCATAACACTTCACCCCCAAATACTCAGATTGTATCTTCTAAGAACTATACAAAACTGTAACATAGTTTTCTCACTTAGGAAATTTAGCACTGATTTTTTTCTATCATCAGCAGTAAGTAGTCCATATTCAGATTTCCCCAGTTGTATCCAAAATGTCCTCTTACTATTTTTTATTGTCCTGTATTTTTTGTTTTTATGATATATTCTAAATTTTTGTTTCATCTATTTTTAGTAGGTAATACATTAATACAGCTCAAAATTTATAAAGCACAAAAGAATACATAGTGAAAAGTGCCCCTGTTCTTTATCTACTTAATTCCCTTCCTAAGAGACAATGAATGTTGTTAGCGAGTTCTTCCTATCATTCTTGAGAGACAGTCTCTGCATATAAATATACACATTTTCATTTTATAAACAAATTTTACATGGTAACAGATTTTCTATGTTTGGAACTTTTATTTCTTCCTCAAACCTCAGTTGGATTTTTTTTTAATAACATAATTTTTTGAAATCCAAAAACAAAAGTACAGTTTGAGATCTAATTCTCAAAGGGAAGAGATCTCACGTGGTGATTCCCAAATGTTAATGTGAAAGTGGTTTGCTGAACCATTTGCAAAGCTTAAGAAAAGGAACCATACCTGCCCCCTGCCCTTGCCCTGCCCTTCTTCCTCAAGAGGGTAAGTAAGATTTAGTGATTCTCAGTTGGGTGCCCAGAAACTTCTATGTTTTAAAAGTTTCCTGTGATATTGAAAATAGTCTACATGAAAAAATTGTTTGGATAAATGAAAGAGAGGTGCCAACAGTGGAATATACTAGGTACTGAACCTTAACTGTGTGTGTGTATGTGTGTTTCATATGAATGATTATTACTATTTAGCTATTTTTATTTGATTAGATTTGTGATCTATCATCTTTTACCTTCTTTGGAACATCCTATTTCCCAGATCTTTGAGAATTCCTTCCATTTCCCTCAAAAGCCCAGCTTTCATTCTTGAAGCTCTTTAGGACAGAGTGGTTACTCTTGGAATCTGATAGAGACAGGATACCGGGCGGGGTATCACCTAGGTCAAGGTGTTTTCATCTTTCTCCATCTTTCACTAGTGCTGCCTTTATCTAATTAATTACTGATTACACATCCAAGCCTGAAAATTATCTCAATTGGAAACTTGAGGTTAACTTAAACAACATAAATTCCTTAGTTAACAAGTTCTGAAAAGTTGAAATTCTGTACAATATGTTGATTTTGGAGGGGGAAGTGGAATTATGTTAGGTGAAAATTAACATACTTTGCCTTTTGCCAGGATAATATTCTTTTTTTTCTGTAGACCTTTTTTTTTCTCTTCTTCTTTTTTTCTTTTCTGTAGACCTTTTGATTTGGTATCTGTGCTATATACCAAACGTTTCTTTCATGGTTCCAGTGTTCTAGAGAAGTAATTAATATTTTGGTATTCTATTGTATTGAGAGAGTTAACCCTTCTCGCAAAGGACCCAAGTTTATCTTTCAGGAAATGTTTATTTGCCCCAATATATCTGATCCATGTCAGAGCACTTCTAAAATAGCATGTGAATCTTTTATCTTTCAAATGATGAAATGCTTTTGTATTAAAAAAATTAACATGCATGATGTATAACATGGAGTCTAACTTGTGGACATGATTTGAGATGCAGATTCTGTGTGAGTTATTGCAAGGTCCAGTCTGCTTTCAGAGAAGAAGGGGAAGCACGTTTTGTTTTTTTTCTTTGGAAGCCAGTTGTGGTTAGAGTAGAGTAGTGTTGGGACTCCTGGGTGGCTCAGCGTTTGGGCGTCTGCCTTCGGCCCAGAGTGTGGTCCTGGAGTTCCGGGATCGAGTTCCGCACCGGGCTTCCTGCATGGAGCCTGCTTCTCCCTCTGCCCATGTCTCTGCCTCTCTGTGTCTCTCATGAATAAATAAATAAAATCTTTAAAGAAAAGAAAAAGAGTAGAATAGTGCTAAAGGTTTCCCTTTCTGGCAAACTTATTACCTTATTAAACAAATGTAAATTATTGCTTAAGAACCACAGTCATTGTGGTGCTGCATTTCAAATTGAATAATTAACATTAATCATATTAGTTTTTATTGTGTACCCTGAGGAGAAAAAATATGAGTTTAGCTCATACAGGAATAGGATGTCTACTATTCCTTGAATACTTTTGAGGAGAGGAGGAACTTGGGTTTTTTTTATCTCCCCCTCCCCCCCAGGGAAGCATCTTTGGAACATTTTTTGGTTCTGTAAAATTCATTCTGAATTTACTTACCCAACTCTTATACAGTGGGCATAAAAGAAGATTCTGGTTAATTTTTCTGTTTCATAGTTAAACAAACCTGGAAGATGGATTATAAATGCAAAAATTTACTCTCCTAAGTCAAGAGTATAATTTTAAGAAATAATTATTTTAAGGAAGTAAGAAATTATGCATTCTAGACAGTTTTTAAAAATCCCACTGGTGGGGGCACATTGGTGGCATAGTCGGTTAAACGTCTGACTCTTGGTTTTGACTATAACAATCCTGTTGTGGGATCAAGCCCCGAGTCAGGTTCCGTGCTCAGCATGAGTCTGCTTAAGACTCTCTTTCTCTTTCTCCCTCTGCCCCTCCTCCCTGTGTGCACCACTCTCTCCGATAAATAAGTTAATCTTAAAAAAAATCCTTGATATGACAGTAATATATCATTAAGTGACATATCCTTTAACCATGATTTTACAGCTAGATTTTAAAGAATTTTTTTTTTTTAAGATTTTACTTTTAAGTAATCTGTACACCAAAGTAAGGCTCATACTTACAGTCCTGAGACCAAGAGTCGCATTCTCCACTGACTGAGCCAGCCAGGCGCCCCAAAGAACATTTTTAAAAATTGAGTCACATAAAGTTCCTGTTGGCATTTTAGGGAGCACAGTTTTTTGATCTGAATGCTTCAGAAGACAGGATTCTCACCAAGGGCAGAACTGTGATTTCTTTAGGCCTCATGTCCCTTTCCCTTCAGAAAAAGATTTGTGATGATAAGTGAAATTAACAGGTAGTTGTGTCTGTATCATTCAACAAGGTGAATTTTCACCCATGGAAAATTTCATAAGTAAAACCGACAATAGTGCCATTTCTGTCGGACACCTTCTGCTCTAGGCATTCAGCATGTCTAGATCTTAACAGTAAGGGCTGAAGGCCTTCTGTTATCTTGCCCCAGCTTATCTTTCCAAATTCATCTAAGGCCCATCAAATGCCTTAAATTGCACCCAAACTCTTAGTAGAAGAGAAGCTTTGAAGAGAAATCTTTAAGGATTTTAAGCAGAAGCCAAAAAATCCATAATCTAATGTGTTCCCCATAACTATTTGCCATTTCCTACCTTGGCTCATTATTTGTTTTGCCTAGAATGTCCTTGAATTCGGAGAGAAGGAAAAAGATGTTTTTCTTCTATACTTCTACATTCTCAGCAGAGGGCCCTTTAACAAGAGACAAATTAACAAGAGAATAACATACCAGTGTATTTAATGTAAGTTTTGTGTGTCAGGGGAGCCTTCATAAAATAATGAAGACCCAAAGAAGCTGTTAAACCTGTGTTTTCGTGGTAGGTTTTGTTAAAAAACAAAACTGAGCCGAGTACATTTGAAGAGTTGTGGGAAAATGTGCTAGGATGAAAAAGGGTATGAGCTAAGGGGGAAGCCGCAAGGCCTGTTCTTTCAGATTCCTCTCTGTGTCCCATTCCTTTGGAGATAAGGATGCTCCTTTCCTTAGAGTAGAGGGAAGGCACCTCTCGCTTGAGGGTTTTATGACCTGCTTTAGGAGAGGGTTAGGAAATCTTTGCTGCACATGTTTCTTAAATGTATTCATAAATTAGTCAGTATACCAAGATGCCATATTTTGGGGTAGTATGTTCTGAAGCCTATCATATTGTCATATCATCTATCAGTTGCTCTTGCCACAATCATTCTGTATAACAGACCACCCTAAAATTCACACGCATAGACTTGCAGGTCTCCTGGAAGCCGACCTGACAGGCTTGGCTTAGCTGGATAGCTCTGCTTACCACTGTTCTCACTGGGCTTGGCTTATTACTATGAGCTTTGGGTTTGGTCTGCTCCACACGTATGTGTTCATTCTGAGCCCAAAGTGAGTGGGGAGCCAGCTACGCAGTGGCTATTACCCAAGTGCAAAAGAATAAGCCCAACCAAGCTCATTTTAAGCATCAGATCTGCTAACATCCCTTTGACCAGAGCAAGTCATATGACTCAGTCCATAGTCCAGGGACGAGAAAGTATACTCTACCTCTGGTGGGAAGACCTGCAGAGTCACCTGGTAGAGGGTGTGGATTCAGAGGTGATTAAGAATGGGGCCAGAAATGTAAGCCCTCACCAAGTTTCATGGCTCAATTCAAATTCAGTCTCCCTTAAGGGCTGCATAATCGTTCAACCAAAAGAAGTTGCTCCTTTTTCTAAAATCTTACTAAAATGAGAAGTATTTTGTACTTCTCATAAGAGATGTGTTACTTCTTACTTGTATCCATTATAAATACCTCTTTCTACCATGGGAAATCTCTATAAGGCAAACCTTTGGCTAATGCATCTATCTTCAGTGTATTTATATTTAAAAATTAGTGAAAACTTTAAGATTTTTTTTTATTGTGTTAAAATATACATAACATAAAATTTACCATTTTTAAGTGTATAGTTTATGGCATTTAGTACATTCACATTGTGCTAGAGATTTATTTTTCATTGTTTTTATCTGACTTCTCACATACTTGGGACCTGGATACTTCTTTTGGAAGGAACTCCTTGATGTGGATTTGTGAAGGAGAGAATTGTCTCTCTCTCTCTCTCTCTGCCCCCCCCCCCCGCACTCCTCTCTTTTTTGATTTCTTTTAGAGCAGATGTTCTCTGTAAATTGTTGTCAACTTATTCCATATTTGGACTCTCATGCTTTTCAAGCCATAGTTGAGGTGTGTATTTTTGGATTACAACCAATTTAACAGATCCCCCTATAGTGTGAGTTGTAAGTGGGTATGAGGCACAGAGCAGAATGGAAATGGGAAAATGATACATCATAATGCTAATCTCAAACTCTTGGCAGAATAACATTAACATGATTTTTTAGTTCTTAAGGATGAAAAATAGCTTCAGCATTCACATTCACCCTAATAAATGTTGAACATTTAAACACTTTTAAGATATGTTTATGAAGAGCCTGTTCAGAATTCTTTCTGAAGATCTGTACAGAGAATTCATGTTCTTTCAAGGAGAATGTTAGATATAAATGATGATTTCCAGTGAAGCAGGAAAAATAACTTAGAGTATTATTATTTGTGGTAGAATTTTCTTCAATCTCATAACGTTTTCCTGTAATTAAGTCTTACTGTGTTCAAATTCCTTGGGAAATTTTATTGATACCCATCATTATAGAATCTTGTGGCCCTTTATGGCCATTAAGCGTTAAAGGGCTTAAAGGCTAAGGAGGTAGCATTTTGTACAATTCAAAGATTTTTGAGATGTGGTGAAGTTGTGTGTGTACATGTGTATTAGATTTCTTAATGCCTAATTCAAAGCATGCAATGTTTGAAGAGTCCAAATTAATTAAGCACATAAGCTAGAGGATTTGAAATCTAGTTTATTGTTCTGATTCTTTTTTTTTTTTAAGACTTATTTATTTATTTTAGAGAGACGGAGAGCTCTGGAGACAATGAGTAGGGAGAGACATAGAGGGAGAGAATCTTCACGCAGACTCCTTGTTGGGCTTGGAATCTTTTATGGGGCTCCATCCCACAACCCATAAGATCATGACCTGAGCCAAAATCAAGAGTCAGATGCTTATTGACTGAGCCACCCAGGCACCCCTATCTTTCGATTCTTTGAATGTATTATTAGGCTGAGACCCTCCACCTATGTTTTAGCTTCCCTCTCTCGAAGCTAATTGAAGGTAAAATGCTGGTAATAGGAAAAAATTTGTCATGTGAGTAACTATATCCTTATCACATGATAATGAGTTTCTATCTTATAATATCCAGCTTAGTATGGGCTCTTTAATGTTTAATAATCCCTCTAATTCATGTTTAAGTGAATTTTTAAACTCTGGCTATACTTGTGATGATCTTTTTTCTTAACCTTTTCATTGATAACCAGCATTTTCCTCTTCGGCTGGGGCTGAAACAGCTGTATGAGAAGCTTCTGTCTTGTTGACAGTGAAGCAATTAACTTGGGTCCAGGCCTGTAAATCATCTCCCATGGTTCCTGAGGCATAAGATATGATCGGTAAATGCTAGATCTTGCCCACATATTTAAAATGGTCACTTGCAGATGCTTTGGGCCTTTGGGAAGAGTATAAGGGCTTGTTGTTGGCTCCTTGAGAAGGAAGGTGCACTAGGCCAGGCAGATACTGAAACACTCCCCCACCCCCACCCCTGGAGAATTTCTCAGAAGAACCCTGAGCAAGAAAGCTCTAAGAGGTCCATACAGGGAGGACTCTCCTTAACCATTGTTACAGAATTTGATCTAGATCACAAACAACAGAATCAAGGAGGCAGAGAGTAGGATTCAAGTCTTAACCTAGTTGGTTACCATGTATACCGAACCTCTCCTGAATCTCTAGTATGTGCCATATGTTCTAGAGATAAAGGAGTGAAGGAAGTAGGCAACTCTCACTTCTCAGGGAGGAGCTCAGGGCAAAGGTGACCATAGGTCCCAGTTTGTCTGACAAATTATGTGATGAAGCTACTCAAGTGGGAGACAGGTATTAAGAAACTAGAGGATGTAATTGGGGTCACCTGACCTAGTCTGGAGATGAACAGAGGAGATGTTTTTAAGGAAATGAGTCTGAAGAGGAGATCTGAAGCATCAGAAGATGTTCTCACTTGACTCAGGGTCTTTGCATGTGGCCTTTCCCCTCTTCTCCCTGGAAGGAGGTATTCCCACATCCTCTCCCCCCCTACTACCCAATATTACTGTTACCGGTGAATTAGAAAAAATGTTTTACAAATAGCAGGTTAACAATCCATGAGTCATAAAGTTAATTTAGTGAGTAGTAATCCAATTTAAAACATAAATGTTGAAATGTTAGGTATTTGTTATTTAGATACCATTTTGTTTTTAACTGTGATGAAATATGAAGGAAATTTGGGAACTAGGATTGAATATGGCTTATCTTATGGAGTTACCATAATACCTTATGGAGTTCCTATGAATATTAAGTTTACATGTATTATATACGTGTTTTAGTGACTTTTTTTTTTTAAACTCTAGCTCTTTAGGACCACATTCTGAAAAAAAGGATGCTGTGTTTTGATTATGTTAGTTATACAATTCCCAGAATAAATAAAATAGGCCAGGAAAAAAAGGACAGCTAATTTAATTTCTTTGTATTTGTTTTTTTTATTTGTTTTTTATTATTTTTTAATTTTTTTAAATTTCTTTGTATTTGAAAGGAAGGCAGCCACTACTCTCATCTTTTGTTTAAATATCAGGCTATGTGGGGCACCCGGGTGGCTCAGTGGTTGAGTGTCTGCCTTTAGCTCAGGTCATGATCCTGGGGTCCTGGGATCGAGTCTCGCATGGGGCTCCCCACATGGAGCCTGCTTTTCCCTCTGCCTATGTCTCTGCCTCTCTGTGTGTGTCTCGTGAATAAATGTATAAAATTTTAAAAATCAGGCTATTTCCACAGGAGAATATGCTGACATCATTCTGAGATGGTGAAGTTATGTCAGGATAACTTTTGATTGATTTATTTTTGTTATTTATTTACTTATTTTTTAAGCGGGCTCCACATCCACAGCATGGAGCTGAATGTGGGACTTGAGCTCACAACCCTGAAATCGAGACCTGAACTGAGATCAAGATTTGGATGCTGTTCAGGTGTCCAAGAACAATTTTTTAAAAGAATCAACATGGAGCTCTTCAGTTTTTCCTCCTACTGCCCCCAAATGGAGTAAGATTTGCCTGGCCACCATGGTGTGCTGTTTTGAGGATGGAAAATGTCACTTTGGAGTAACACTTCTACTTATTTCTCTTCATTCCCCTTCCCTTCTAGATTTCACCACCCCATCCTCAGTCCTTTGGAAGGCAGTTTCCAGCTGGAGGTGGACGTCCTGAGCCATCTCCTGAAGGCCCAGGCCCAGGTCTCCGAGTGGAAGTTCCTCCCGTCTCTGGTGAACTTGCACAGTGCTCACACCAAGCTGCAGACTTGGGGCCAGATCTTTGAAAAGCAGCGGGAGACCAAGAAACATCTGTTCGGAGGGCAGTCTCAGAAGGCCGTTCAGCCCCCACACCTTTTCCTCTGGCTGATGAAACTCAAAAACATGCTTCTTGCCAAGTTTAGCTTTTACTTTCACGAGGCGCTGAGCCGACAAACGACTGCTTCAGAAATGAAAACGTTGACTGCCAAAGCCAACCCAGACTTTTTTGGGAAGATTTCTAGCTTCATCCGCAAGTATGATGCTGCCAATGTGTCCTTAATCTTTGACAACCGAGGTTCCGAGAGCTTTCAGGGTCATGGCTATCACCACCCCCATTCCTACAGAGAGGCCCCTAAGGGTGTGGACCAGTATCCAGCCGTGGTGTCCCTACCCAGCGACAGGCCCGTCATGCACTGGCCCAATGTCATTATGATCATGACAGACCGCATGTCCGAACTGAACAGCTTGGAGAAGGTGGTCCACTTCTATGATGACAAAGTTCAGAGCACCTACTTCCTAACCCGCCCAGAACCTCACTTTACCATTGTCGTCATTTTTGAATCAAAGAAATCTGAAAGAGACTCCCACTTTATTTCCTTCCTCAATGAGCTCTCACTTGCCCTTAAGAACCCCAAAGTTTTTGCAAGTCTGAAGCCTGGCTCCAAAGGCTAGCAGGTGATTTGTGTGAAAGGTTTTCAAGACTGGAAAGTGTGTTCCTAATTGCTCTAATGATCTACTGTGGTCTGTGATTAGAGTTTCCATCCATTCATGCTTCTTTCAGAGCTAAATTAAAGACAAATCTTCCCTAATTGTGTCGCACACTTTATAAGCAATTAAGGCCAATTGAATCAAGTATCCAAAGAGTAATCTAGGAAGTGATCATGGCTACTGTGTATCTCCATGGTACAGCAGAGTTCTTTCAGTATTTTCTCCCATTTTCCTTTATTTCCTATAGACAGAATATTGATTGGCCTTTGGTTTGTCTTTCCACATGTTTTATATTGTTCTAAACTTTGTTTTAATGCAGTTCCACATGCCTTCTCCTCTCCCCTTCCAGGACCAGTAACTGAGATAAGAGATTAAATGGCCTTTTCAGAATCAAGGACTGTATGTTTTCTATCTCATAAATTAGCAAATTAACATGAAAGGAGTTTTAGGATTCTCATCAACAAATTAGTATTTTGGATGCCAAAATCAGTCTTGGTGAGAAATTTCTGTCAGTTATTAAAATCAAGGGTGAATCAGAGTGGTCATGTAACATCAGTTTTAACAGTTTAGAAAACTCCCGTGAATACTTTAGTAGTCATGGGTTCTTCTGGGGTGATCTACACACCTAACTACGTTTGTTTTTACCCTTATGAAGGTGAATTTTTCACTCTGTTTGAAAATTAGTATAAGCTCTTATGTGGGGTTTCTTCACTCCTCGGCATAGTATCTACTTGGCTTTCTGTTTATCACCTTTCTGCTGAAATGTATGTTCATGTTTGGCTCCACTCCCCGCTTATTCTTAGGCCAAAAAAGCATGTAGCCTTCGTTTTTCGGCCACTTTTCAACATTCATGCGACTTAGCCTGCGTTTATAACCTCAAAAGGTTGGTCTCGATACCTTGTACTTGCTAAAAATCAGTTGTGCATTCAGAAGACCTCTTCGTAGCTGAGTAATCAAATCAGTACTTAATTTAAGCACATCTGAATTTGGGTTTCATGCCTGTCTCTTCCAAATTACTTTTAGAAGCAGTGATACATCTTAACACCTGCTGCCTTAACACCCTCCTTCAGTCGTGTTCACGGGGAAGTAGATGGACCTGTGAAGGCCTAATGGGCTGTGGAGAACGTCACTCCTTGGTTATTGACTCAGAATGAAAATGAGCCACAAAGAGTCATTGAGTTTTGTTACTATTTGATAGTTCCTTCAATGCTTGTATCTGACGTAATGATCAGATCGGTCCAGTTTGGTCCAGTTTCTCATGATTGCATGGAGCCATGGTTTTCCTGGGCCACAGCCGGCAAGCTGACAGTGGGCAGAGCCGTTCCCAGCCTGTGCCAGGAGGCCTGCCTGCTTCAGGCGGGACCACCTGCTGGAAAGGACCTACTGGTCTTTTTTCTATTTCTTTCTTTCTTCCCCTCCCCCCTTTTTAAAAAATAAAAGTCCTATAAGTAAAAAGCCAGTTTGCTTAAAATAGGTAGTGATTTACTTCTACATTTTATTCACTCAGGTTCTATACAAATCTGAATATTGAACTTACATAAAAAATTGAAAACAACTAGAACTAGAAAGTCCACAATCATTTTTCTTCCCTTTTGTGTTTTACCCAAGAAGCCGAAAAAATATCCCTTGGTGTTTATGTATTTTTCCTAGATAAAACCACCATTAGCCTTAATGTTTGGTCTCCCATGTACCGAAAAGAAATTTGCTTCAGTGGAACAGGGAGAAGAGTGTAAATAAAACTTACATATAATATTTATGTAATCAGTCCTTGTCTACATATTTAAAAAGGTATATTTATTTTTAAGCATATTTTGGTTCAAGCCAAGAAACGAAGTGATTCTACTCTAAGATTTGTCCTCTAAAGTAATTGATGAAATGGATCTGTAAAGTCTGTCTTGCTAACTGGAAGATTAAATTTGCATATTTTCTGTAGACTGTTTACTTTGAAATTGTTTCTAAACCACAACTTGGTCAGTTTTTCTGTGTAGCTAGGGGCGTGGTCAACACTCACTGAGTTTGCTGCCAACAAGGCCATCAAGGAGTGTCCACTTTAGGATGCTGTTTGGACACAGGCTGGACGTTCACAACTTTGCCCTCAGGGGTCCAACCTTGTATGTGATGACATCATGTCAAGAAGTGTGTGAAAATACAGTCGTTCCCCCCTTACCTGCCATTGTGCTTACCTGGGTTATCCACGGGCACTGCAGTGTGGAAGCTGGAAGCCGGGGCTTCTCCTACGAATCATCAGGGGGTCAGTCGTAGTGTGTTGCTACATCCCAATGCCTGCATCATTCACATTACTTTATCTCGCTGCACCAGCATTGTGTCATCTCACGTCATCCCAAGAAGGGTGAGTATGGCTCAATAAGCTATTTTGAGAGAGAGAGAAAGACCACATTCATATAACTTGGATTACAGAACATTGTTGTAATTGTTCTATTTTATTATTAGTTACTATTAATTTCTTACTGTGCCTAATTTATAAATTAAACTTTGTCATCAAAGTATGTATGTATAGGAAAAACCATAGTATATACGGAGAGCTGGGTACTATGTGCAGTTTCAGGCACCTGTTTGGTGTTTTAAACACTCGAGGGTAAGAGGGGCCTACTGTATAGCTTAATTCTTAACTGGCCAATAACCTTTATGTTATTTCTTTGTGCATTTGGACATATTGTAGGAAATTTACTTACAGGAAAGAAAATAGCTGGTAACTCATTGCACTCCTACAGAGTCATTCACAGGGTCTTTAAAAATATGTGTCTACTCTTTGATCCAGCACCAAACTTGTTTTTTTTTTTTTTTTTTGGCTCGTCAGCCTCTGAGCTTGACTTTCTTATCTGTGAAATGGGGATAAGGAAATATGGCCTGCTTTTTATCAGAGGATATGTAAGAATGGAATGACATCATGCATGTAAGAAAGGCTTTGAAAGCTTATTTGGGCTTGAAAACTGTATAAATAAAAGATAGATGATTCTTTCCTTAAACTCAGCACTTCTCTTGTTCTCGTCTTTCTCTTCAGATCTGTGGCATAAACGTGTGCTTAGTCACTCTGAACAGTATAGTTGAGAAGAGGAGGCAGATAAATTCCTAATCAACTCACCCTCCCTTCCCTCTCTCCTTATTTTAGAATCCTCATGGTTCTTTATTCCTAAATTTTTGTGGTTGGTTGATAGCATCACTTTAGTCTATATTCTTACAGACCCATAGACATTTTAAATTTTTCTTTCTTGCTTATCAGCCAGATTATCACTATGCAGTTTCCTGCTTTATCTCCATTACTACTACTCCTTGCTTCAAAGTGCATTTTGCCTGGTATTTTTGTGATCCAGTCTGCTTATGCTTACTGTTCACATGGTACATCTTTGCCTATCCTCTCACTATTTGTATCTTTAAAGTGTCTATGGTTAAGAATTAAAGAGAGAAGACTGATTAAAAAGCAATAACCACCTCTGTGTGCTGCAATCTGACCATCTCTGCCTTGGGATTGAAGTGTTTAGTTTGTCACATTTCATACCTGTGAAGTTTTTACAATCAGGACTTTACTGATAGTATCTTTAAGCCATCACTGAATATGCTTTTCTATCTTTTTTTCCTTTTATATTAGAAGTTAGATGAAGAGGTTTGATCAGATTTCTCCCCCCACCCTTTTTTTTTTTTTTTTTTTGTAGTGACTTGTGTATTTTATTGGGAGGCAGCTAATATCTGGCATTACCTAGGTCAGTTACGGTACTGAAGGTTACAGAATAGTGATGGTCTAATATGTCATTCCTTTTTCATTTATTAGATGGGATGTTTTTATGGGGAGAAACTTTATTTGGCTACCTTAAAAGTTCATATAGGAATGGCTGGATAAATGCTTGATGCTTTTTCCAGTTTTCTTTTTTTTTTAACATTTTATTTTTAAGTAATCTCTACACCCAACATAGGGCCTGACCTCAAACCCCAAAATCAAGAGTTGCATAGTCCACCGACTGAACCAACCAGGTGCCCCTGTTTTTATTTATTTTTTTTTAAGTAAGCTCTATGCTCAATGGGGGCTCAAACTCATAACCCTGAGATCAAGAGTCACATGTTCTATCCACTGAGCCAGCGAGGCATCCCTCTTACCAGTTTTTAAAACAATGAGTTAGGGGGCTCCTGCCTGGCTCAATCAGTGGAGCATGCAACTCAATCTCCGGGTTATGAGTTTAAGCCCCACACTGGGTGTAGAGATTACTTAAAAATAATATTTTTAAAAAAATAATAAAATAATGAATTAGAATGAGCTTTTATATACATGAGAAATGTATATGAGTATTTCTGCCTTCTGCTTCTTAGGTTTAACCCCAAATTTGAAACAAGGCAGCCATTTTTCCCCTTACTACAAGACACTTTTATGTAAATGTTATGATCTTCCTTTATTTCTTTCTCATGGTTACTTTTCTTCTCTCTTAATTACTACTGATTATTTTCCTCTGCTTTTCTCCTTCCTTCCTTCATTCCCCACCCCACTCCCACCCCCCTTTCTAGTTTCTAGTATCTTCCTCATCAATTCTACTGAGTCACCTTCCCCCCCTACCTCAGGGAGCCACCACATACTCCAGTGGGCTCTGACCCAGCTTTGGAAAGCCATACTCGAAAGTATTCATTTTGGTTATTTTTTACAACTCATTAGTCTTTTTCAGGCAGTGACAAAGGAAGATGTAGATGGGAAATATTCAGTATTGACACTGATGGGTGACCCCTGTTAGGCCCAGCCACTTCATGAGCACACAAGACTTAGCCAACTACAGCCAAGGAGTGCTATGTGTATCTAGTAGGTTATTTGGGATTATTTTTTGATGTGACAATTATATGTCAGTACAGGACACCCCTTGACCCCAAGGCTATCCTGGTCTCAGTCACACCAGGGTAGGTCAGTGTTAGAGCAGTCCCTAAGGAAGAAACAGAGGATATGAATGGCTGCTTTCTAGTTTCCAACATTAGTTCCTGTAACAATTATTAAGCACCAACCATGCTAAGGATGGTGATACAGCAGTTGGCCGTGACAAACACGGGCCTTGGCTTGTGCGGGTAGTGAGGTGAGCTGGCTCCTGCCTCCCCGACAGGTGGTCCCCAGGAGCTGGAGAGATTAAATGGGAAGGCCATGAATAGTCTTCAAAACTGTTTTTCTTGCATACCTTCTTCCCAGTTTTGAAAAGCCATGATACCTTGATTTTTTTTTTAATCTGAAGTCATCATCATCATATGTAAATAGTCTCAAAAGATTTATCTTACCATATATTGTAGATATTGACATTTAAAATGAAAATGCTGGGCAGCCTGGTGGCTCAGCGGTTTAGCGGCACCTTCAGCCCAGGGCATGATCCTGGAGACCCTGGATCGAGTCCCACTTCAGGCTCCCTGCATGGA